TATTATTGTTTTAAATTTAGTTTTTGTTAAGAGTGTTATTGTTTTAAATTTTTTTGCAATGCCAGGACCAAATACCAATGACTATATAGTCGATTCAGTCACTGAGCGTTTTATTATTTACGCCAGTGACGACAGCGACTCTTCCAGCGACGAGAGTTATGTCGAGGATGAGGAGCCAACTCCTTCCGCCAGCTTAGGTGCTACCATAAATTTAATGCAAGGGGTAGCACTATTAGAAAACGATAGTGACGACGACGACACATAATTTTTAATATTAAGTATATTTTTTTAAATAAACTTCTTAACTTTTAATTGTATTTTATGTATAACACCTAATACACTTCACGAATTCCTCTCTTTTCTTTAACTTTCTTCTAAGCACACATGCTTAAAAATAAATTATGGCAAATAAAAAAATAATTAAATCATATTCGGGCAATAAAAGTGACCATTGCTTCGTTGCAATGTGCACTATACGCGACCTTACCCCCACTACGCCAAAACTTTGCCAACTTACGTGCCGCTTACTATACTTCGGTCGAAGAAAAATGCGTCACAGGAAACACCGTGGAGAGGAGCTCATTCCAGAGCCGGATTACTATTCGAATATACAGTTGTGAGGTATACGGGCTATACTCAGTCTAATTCCTTTGTCTTCGGTCTGAATTAAGACACTGTATATTTTTTTTAGCCAATTTATTTTAATTATAAATAAATGAATAAAATGTAAAAAAATTACCTGCTGCACTTCATTTATAGAGCTTTGAATGAAGTAAACGAAACCGAAAAAGATCCGTTCCTATGGGTCGTTGCAATGGATATCCTACTGGAGATATAATCCAAAGAGAGTTGATGTCAGACAGGCGGCGTATCGTAGGGCTCATACTGAAACCATATATAAGAGGACATGATGCGCTGACCCTACATAATGTAGCTTAAGGGTAAAAAGAAGAAGATGAAGATTTTACTATACCTACTAGCGACCCGCCCTCGCATCGCTTCAGAAACTGTAATTTATTATTGATTTCTCCACTATTTAATGGATGTTATTATACATATTATAAACCTTCCTCTTCAATCACTCTATCTATTAAAAAAAACAGCATCAAAATCCGTTGCGTAGTTTTAAAGATTTAAGCATATATAGGGACAGACAGATATAGGGACAGAGAAAGCGACTTTGAAGGGGCTGACAAATTTTTGAACAAAAAAAAATGCTTTAATATCGCTTCATTCGGCTGAGTAAATACTTGTGTTGAGCTGCAGCCGTTGTTGAAATATTACATTTTACTTAGAGTTTAGGGGACTGCTTAGGGCGAGAACTTGTCTACGCTAATAAAGTAACAAAACACGTGTGGCATTCGGGGACTGCCGCGGTAAAGCTATTGCAAAGCATTTTTTATCAACTTATGCAATTACAATTAGACAATAATAATTTAATATTAAAACAATAATAAAAATAAGACCACGCTATATTTAAAAACCTTAACAAAAGCAAAACATTAACTGTCCCCTTCACACTCATAAGCTAGACCTATCTCTCTCTCAGAGAGATAGGCAGACTTTTCATGATGCTCATGCTTTGCGACGTCACGCCGCGCGCTTATTCACAAACACTACACCAGCGCAACGTGTGAATGTGTTGAACGCGAGCTACATAGTAATAAAAGCTATGCAATAGCTTAAAATACAATACAATCCTCAAATATTCCCAAACTTCATAAAGCACGTATAAATTATAAGTATGTATTAACGTTTCTGTCGATGCAAACTTTACAGTCGCACAGAGCTTTAGTGCGCGACTTTCGGAACTTTCAAAAGCTTTCCAGCTCATAAATCACTTCGCGAAAATACATTCTTCGCTCAGAATATCTGAGCTACAACAAATCTGATTATTGAATTGCGCTGAGAAATTTGAAGGGACCGGGAATGTAATTTATCTTCTAGAAGTTGTACATTCAGTTTTCATTATTGGGGGTTCTTTCACAGACTTCTCACTTAATATTCGGTGGTACGGACCGATAATACAAAATGTACGCGCCGAGTCGAGAATCTTATTTTTTAAATCTCTTAAAACAGAAAAATTAAATGGTACGCAAACCAGTTGCCATAAATAAATTACATATTATTTTATCTTCACTTTTCGCGAGTAGTGGTAATAATAAAGATAATTTGATATGCAATTTATTTCTACAAAAATAGAGGGTAGTTAGCAATATATTCAAATGTCGACGAATAATATTATATTAGTCTTAAATGACCACGGAAACTGTAAAGTATACGAAACGTCCGATATAATATGTACAATGTTAATAAAAGCAAAACCTTAACTGTCCCCTTCACACTCATAAGCTAGACCGCGGGAGAGAGAGATGGGCAGACTTTTCATGATGCGCGTGCAGTGTGACGTCACGCCACGGGCTTATTCACAAACACTACACAAGCGCAACGTGTGAATGTGTTGAACGCGAGCTACATGGTAGGCGGAGTGAGGGGTGTAAGGTTTTTTCGTTACGGAAATTCATGATTCGGTCGCCGCGCTCAAGGCCCGCGATAAATCTATGCAATAGCTTAAAAACCCCTAGATAAAAATAGAAATTACAAAAATAGTTTTAATTATAAAATACGTAAATTACTAAATATTTATCGGCTGATCGTTGTTATTCTGAACACTTACGGGCAGGGATCCAGGCGATACACCAGCTTGGATTTAATTGTACTGGCAGAATCGAAAACACGCAGTAAAATACAATCATAAATTCAATGTTACAATAAACGATACCCAGCCCAACTCCTGAATCCCATTACAGTATGTACATTCCTTTTTATACAATTCCATTTTATTCAATCGTTAACACCTCTATAACAATTACAGATAGGTACTATAATTATTGTAATTTTCCAGTGAGTAGCGTCTTTGGTTGTGCCCCACCCACTAAAAAAAAACCCCATTCTATCCCTACGCGGGCAAGGAATTGAGGATCCTGCGGCCAACACTACAAATCAGACGCGCAGCTCTCTCCAAAAACGACCAGTCGAAAGAGTCGTCGGGGCGACAGTCGACAACTACGGTAGCTATCGTGGTCCAGCAGCTCAGTGCAGTGCTGCTGTTGTTCTAGAATACTTAGCAGGACCAGTATGAGCCTGGACAGTCGGAACGCGTTGCACCGCCAACTGGTGATTGTCCCATAGCAGTTTCGTAGAACTACAGCTCCGTAGAACTTCGTAGCGTGTCGCAAGGCCTGCTCCCTCAGGTGGTTCCGTACTTTTGACGGGGGGTTTCGTTTTGCCCCTTGCATTGCTAAAGTCCATGACGAGCGGTGATTACTTACCATCAAGAAACAGCTATAAAGTCTTAAAAAAACGTGGGTATGGATCGCGTCCATTTCTTAAACTGTACAAATTCAATTGCCCACTGAGTTTCTCGCCGGATCTTCTCAGTGGGTCGCGATTCCGATCCGGTGCTAGATTCTGCGAAGCACTACTCTAGTTTAGCTAGTTTTAGCAAATTCTCTCAGGTTGCGCCCGTGAGCTCACCTAAACCAGCGAAAAGGAAGAGAAAAAAAATTCAATCAAAGTCGTCCGAAAGCTGTACCGATTTCTTAAATTCCCTTTCAATAGCGAAAGTTAGTTGTACGGTCACGTTTTAGCGAATTGTGCGAAGGGTGCTTGATGTGTGCGTCACGTGCGAAGGGGTTCCTTTGTACGAGAAACGTCACGTGTCTGAAGATGTTTACTCGTAGGGCATATTGTGAGCCCGTTCATACGTTCCAGTTTGGTTGGTGACTTACGTCCTCGATTCTTCTAATCTTAACGAATAAAAAAACCTGAACGATGTTTATCATAAAAACAAAAAAGACACAGTTATTGTTCATAGCTTGTACAATAAATGAATGCAGCTTTTTTTACGGGAGTAAGCTTTCTTTAGATTTTTTGCTGAAAAATAAACTTTAGATAATTTTGACAAATACTAGGCATACCTAATCTTACTTTTAAAAAATTAGCGAAAAGGGCTGATGATGATGGATGATTAGTAATATAATATAATTATACTAAAAAGTTTTTTTTTTATAATTTTCATAATGTTAGAATTTTTGCTTGTCAACGCGCGATTAGTGCTTTCTACGGCTTGGATACATGGATACTGTTACGCCGGTAAGAATAACGCCATCTATCGCCGAATAGCCGAACGAATATCGAAGGATCTAGTAGGACCTAGAACGCTCGAGAAGTACAGCGCCATCTATTGTCGGATAGCGGAAACACAGTACTCGGCTTTTGTGGAATATTCTTGACGATTCTAGGAATTTCGTCTCGATTATAAAAGCATTGCACCGATGGCACGCAGTCAGTTAGTAATCGGAACTACTCGAAGCGAAACTGCGAATGGATCACCTGAAGCGAACTGAGAGTTTTAAAGTGTTTGTTGAGTGCTTTAAGTGTTCTAAGTGTTGAACACAGTTTTTAGTTGTATTTTGGTGGTACATTTATTTATCTCGAACCTCAGCCTAGTAATTATTATGTACTAATACTAAAGAATAATAACAGTTACATGCGGGATCACCGTTCGATTTGAGTACCCATACCCTTGCCGTCTCCTTGTTAATGAAATTAATAAATTTTTGGAACAAATCCTTGTATAATACAAACATTAAAATCAATTGTAAATTAATGTAAAAATAGGAATAAATAGTGTATGAGGAGTAGTCAAGAAGCGCTCATGTGTGGGGATTTAGCCACTTTTTATTTATTGCTTAGATGGGTGGACGAGCTCACAACCCACTTGGTGTTAAGTGGTTACCGGAGCCCATAGACATCTACAACGTAAATGCCGCCACCCACCTTGAGATATGAGTTCTAAGGTCTCAGTATAGTTACAACGGTTGCCCCACCCTTCAAACCGAAACGCATTACTGTTTCAGGGCAGAAATAGGCAGGGTGGTTGTGCGGACTCACAAGAGGTCCTACCACTAGTAAAACATTCTTAGATAAAGCCTCACCTCAGCGTTAATGGTCGGTGGCATCACGATCTTCTTCTGCGGAGGAGATCTCAACACTACATTGTCGTCCCTCACGATAATCTGAGGCTCCATTGCCAGGAGTTTCTTCTTGCATTCCTGCATCTGGAGGCATTCCTTGTCCTTTTTCGACAGGACTGATTCGGAGGACGCATGCTTCGACGAACTCTTTGATGTATTTTTGCTCGATAATTTTAAACTGTCAATTGAAGATGTCACTTTGGCGCACTCTTTCGACGACGCCATTTTGATTCACATTTGTTTTATACACGTTTTATAGGATTCACTTTATTCTTTTGTTTTTAGATTATTCATATTAATTAAGAATTGAGTTTTTGTAATAGCAGGAATGTTTGGGAACTGTGATTTGTAATAAGAACAGAAATAAGTTAAATAATACAATTATATGTTACATTTATGATTGACAAAAGGAAATGCATCATGCTATTATTTTGAATAGTAGAGAGAGAAATTGTTGTCCTCGGCAAATGAAGAATATATTTCCATGGAAATTAATACCAGTTTATGCTGGATTCGGATCTGGTCCAACTTTAAAACTCGAGGTAGTCACAGAATAATTATTTGGCTCGCAGTGACGGGTGAATTTTTAGTCCACTTATTACAAACAATAATGACTACTGTTCCCCACGTCATTTCGGATCCTCCCGATCCATTAACGGTGCTTTTAGGTAACTCAAGCACTGGTCGCCGTTCTCGTCAAGCCCGTCGCTTGCGACGAAGGGCTTGACGAGTAAATTAAGACACAGCCCACTGAGTTTCTCGCAGGATCTTCACAGTGGGTCGCGTTCCGAACCAGTGGTAGATTCTGCGAAGCACGGCTCTTGCTAAGGTTCGTGTTAGCAACGTCGTCAGGTTTGAGCCCCGTGAGCTCGCCTACATGTTAGGGCGAAGCCGAAATAGCCTCTAAAGGCTATCAGCATAGGTAGGAAAAAAAAGACTACTGTAATGCGAGCCTCGGTCATTGACGGTGCTATTGTTGAAGATATTAGGGCTGAATGTGAATTCTCTTTAATTTCAAACCTAAAAATATACCAGATCGTGCCGGAGAATCTCCAGTTCTGTATAAAAACTGACGCTAGATTTGATTTACGTATTAATATGAAGTATCTGTTAAACATTATACAGAGTGCTGAGGCTATTTATTGCATAGACCAGTGTGTGTGTGTTTGTTGTGTGGGTAACAATTGATGTCTGTCAAACAATCACCATACGCCCACTGGCTCCTATAATTATTCACGATCTGCGACTATAAAGTAATATTTTTTATTGTATATTCTTCTTCGAACTAAACCATCAAACTAAAGTTTTGTTGTTTTCAATTTTAATTTATTTCGTGCTCTGGTATCACGCGTAGTTCAGTATTGTTAATTATTATTGTGCTTCGGAATACGGAATCTCGGAAGGCAAATGAGCGTGAAATGGCGAATCCAGTGTTATTTTATTTCAAGCGATACTCATTGACGTACATCTATCTATCTATATATATAAAAATGAATTGCTGTTCGTTAGTCTCGCTAAAACTCGAGAGCGGCTGGACCGATTTGGCCAATTTTGGTCTTGAATTATTTGTGAAAGTCCAGAGAAGGTTTAAATGGTAGATAAATATGAAAATGCTCGGAATTAAATAAAAATAACAATTTTGTTTTTCCTTTGATGTGTCCCCCGTCGGACGGATTCCTTTTGTTTGTTTTAAGTTTATTTTATACAAAAGTTTAGGTCTTTTGTTTATCGATTGAGGCACTACGAAGTCTGCCGGGTCAGCTAGTACATAATATATAAATGTAATGTATTGAAAACGAGTGCGACATATTAATGAACAGTTTACCTGGTGGTAGGACCCCTTGTGAGTCCGCACGGGTAGGTACCACCACCCCACCTATTTCTGCCGTGAAGCAGTAATGTGTTTTCGGTTTGAAGGCTGGGGCAGTCGTTGTAACTATACTGAGACCTTAGAACTTATCTCAAGGTGGGTGGCGCATTTACATTATAGATGTCTATGGGCTCCAGTAACCACTTAACACCAGGTGGGCTGCGAACTCGTCCACCCATCTAAGCAATAAAAAAAAAAATAGCTGATGAAGATGTATTAACGTTGTTACCGACCCAGCTGGTGTTTGAATTCGTTTTGCGTGTACACACTAATCTTTGGGTGTATGGGATTCCTTATACTAGTATCTGGTGTGTGGGCGGAAGAGTTCACGGTCCATCTCCTATGAAACGGTTACCCATCACAACGTAAATTTCCCTCGTAAGGCGGGTGCCTGGAGTGGGATCCAAGTTTCAACTTTTTATTTCCTTCCTAATCGGTGGTAGCTTCGAGAAGCTATGCCAGCTACGCGCTTTTTGCTATGTGAGCTTAATCGGAAATCAAAGCTGTAAAGGACGACTGCTTAGTGGCAGTAAATTCGTGAATTGTGGAACTATGTTTCTCTCTTGCCTGCAACCCTGCATATATTATTTATTACCCTTTGCAGGCATATGAGCATATGGTATACGTGATGGTGAGTGGTTACCGTCGCCCATGGACTTCAGCAATACCAGGGGCAGAGCTGAGCCGCTGCCTACCGTTAAGTACTCTCCACAAGCCTCGTTTAAAGAAGGACATGTCATAGTGCTCAGGAAGCACCGTGGAGGGGAACTCATTTCAAAGCAGGATGGTACGTGGCAAAAAAGATCTCTGGAGACGCACTGTCGATGACCGTAATGGCTCCAGGTAGTATGGATAAACTCTGCTCCAATGATAAAAACGAGATGATGAATCATCTCAAACAATTCCTCAGAGCATTCCCCATGGAACATACAAGTTACAAAAGTATATTATATCCTCACTAATTTTGTTAGTAATTCCACCTACCATCCTACAGAACAAGTAGCCGTGAAGATATGCGATCGAAGAACATAATATTTGAACGTCTATCGATAAATCTTTAGAGTTTTTGACTATTAACTAATTTTTATGAAACATTAACGGACGGATGGAGAGTGTTTTCTTTCGGCGCATTTCAGTAAACAAAACGATGTTTTAAATTACAAGATTAATTACTCTGTCAAGAACCGTAACGCTGCCCCTTCCGTTCTTGCTACGAAGCAATCCGGCTGTGTGGTTTGAAAGAGTCGGTATTTCGATTGAGGTTTTTTTGAACTGGCTGAGTGGATGAGGACGCGGAAAATTAATGAATTGGCTATCGGAGTTTTTTTCTCCTACCTAATCGTTGGTAGTCTAATGGGCTAATGCAACCTCACGCGGACCGGTAGTAGAGCTCACGGGCTCAACCTGAGAGAATTACTAACACTAGCCCTATCAAGAAAGTCAACCCTGTCCTGTCGTCTCAATAGTTCCGACTGGGCTCCAGCCCGGTCTGGGATAGGGCGCCGGCTGTGAGCGGCAGGAGTTATTAGTGAGGTTCAACTCCCACATACCCCAACTGCCGCGCGGGTGGGAATCCGGTGATTTTCTCTTGAGAAAAAAAAAACCCTATCAAGAGTAGTGCTTGGCTACTACCGGATCGGAATCGCGAACTACTGAGAAGATTTTTTACTGGTGGTAGGACCTCTTATGAGTCCGCACGGGTAGGTACAACCACCCCGCCTTTTTCTGTCGTGAAGCAGTAATGCGTTTCGGTTTGAAGGGCGGGGTAGCCGTTGTAACTATACTGAGACCTTAGAACTCATATCTCAAGGTGGGTGGCGGCATTTATGTTGTAGATGTCTATGGGCTCCAGTAACCATTTAACACCAGGTGGGCTGTGAAGTGGACATGGTCATTGTTTTGTAATGTAATAACCGACCTCGTCTTTTTTGCTCATTATCCTGTTTTTTGATACAAAAATAATGGTCACCATAATTGTAGTAACAATTAAAACAGCTTTACGATTCAATATCGTATATTATGTTGTCACTATATTATCCCTAACGAATAGGTACTTCACAGATTTCGTGGTCATAACAACAAGTTGCATGAACTGCAATAGTAAATTTAATTTTAGCGCGTCTATTTTCGCTAGCAACGAGCGATTCGTTCTGATTTGATAGATGAGACACACGTTATACTATTGAGACTTGGACCTCATTTACGTTGTGGTGTCTATAGGCACCGGTGACCTCTTAACATCGTCCGTCCGTCCGTGAGCTCGGTGTAATAAAATATAATAGTACTCGTGTTTGTAAATAGACATGCTTTAACAAAAACCGACTTCAAATAGACAAAAAAAAAGATGTTCCAAGCCAAATTAATATACACTAATAACAATAATCATCGAAATCGGTTGGCGTGATATTGAGTTATTGAGTTATTCATCTACTTGTCGCGCACGTACTTAACGCAAATTTAAGACTTATATGGTTTTCTCATGGATACCATACCACACGGAAAGCGTCAGCTTTTTAATAAAAAAAGTATCATCAAAATCGATTCACCCAGTCAAAAGTTATGAGGTAACAAACATAAAAAAATACAGTCGAATTGAGAACCTCCTCCATTTTTAAGTTGGTTAAAATATAATAGTACTCGTGTTTGTGTGTTGTTGCACATGTTAGTTTCATCTTTTTTTTTCGTTCTACCTATGCTGATAGCCTTGAGAGACTATTTCAGCTTCTCCCTGACGTGTGAGCTCACGGGGCTCAAACCGGAGTGTTGCTAACACTGGACCGGATCGGAAACGCGACCCACTGAGAGCATCCGGCGAGAAACTCAGTGGGCTAGTTTCGTCGACTTATCTATTTCACCCGGGAAACAATTTGGGTAGTAGCCATCACTGCATTGTATAAATGGACTCTTATAACCACTTTATCTCAGATGAGCTTTGGACTTGTCTGACTATTGACGCCATTAGATCATCCTCATAGATGTAGTATTAACGATTCCGATTTTCTTGGAGTATTTTAGATTGTTTCAGAAGTGAGCGAGAATTATAATTTAAATATTCGAACGCGCATTAATAATGTATTGTGTTTGAGTGTATCTATACTAATATATGAAACTACAGTGGTTTTACGGATGTTCCTTTATAACTACTGAACCATGCATCCGATAGACTTGAAACTTGGTATCCATGTAGAGAATACATGTACTTAATGGATGGGCTAATATTTATATGAGTGTTGGACTCCCTACACCAGTTGCGGGGGCGTTAATGATGAGAATCTTTGTGGGGGTGAGAAATGATGATGTAAATTTTAATTGCCCAGTGGAGCGGACGGGTACAGCTAGTATGTATATAACAATAATAATAATAATAATTTATTTCAGACCATCTTTTAGCCCATATATAAAAATACAATTTGGAAATACATATATTTATCCCGCCGCATGTAGGCGATTCTATATTAAGAAGAATGGACAATCCAACTCCATCCTGTTCGCATTGAGTTGCAGGTAACCGTTGGCGCCGCCACGCATCCGCCGCACCAGGGATGCTGCTCATTTCCTAAGTATTGCGGCAAAGCCGTCAACACCGGCGTCTGCAAACATCCCCGACGCGATACAGAAACGCGACAGCGCCATCAGTGCCCTGAACCCATTGTTATTGAACGCTCAAGTCACTGCAAGCCAGTTGCGTATACTTAACCCATAGGCTGCAGGTGTAAAAAGACTGACAGTAAGCCTTAAATAATGTGATTTTCACCTGTGCGGTACATTTCTGGTTTTTTACTGGTGGTAGGACGTCTTGTGAGTCCGCGCGGGTAGGTACCACCACCCTGCCTATTTCTGCCGTGAAGCAGTAATGCGTTTCGGTTTGAAGGGCGGGGCAGCCGTTGTAACTATACTGAGACCTAAGAACTTATCTCAAGGTGTGTGGCGCATTTACGTTGTAGATGTCTATGGGCTCCAGTAACCACTTAACACCAGGTGGGCTATGAGCTCGTCCACAAATCTAAGCAAAAAAAATTATAATTCGCAAACCTACCGGCCAAAATATTCGCCCTGAGTATGTGTATAAGCGTATGTCTATGTTAAAAACGAATCGAGAACTTAAAGCACCCTGTACTAATTGTTTTAGATTATCCATTTATTTATTTATTTATTCGAAAGCAATCTGTGAAAGCTTGTAAATTGAATGGGCACCGCGAGACCGTATAAAAAAGCTTTTGATCGAAGCTTTTATTGCAAAACGGAGGGACTCCCTTTCGGGTCATCCACTTGATAAGCTCTGAATGGTAATTTATTATTTTAATCGGCGTTGCTTGAGCTTTTTAAATGGTTCTGTTGTAGCCTTCAATGAAATTACTAAACAAAGACGCCAAGCGATGGCGATCTTCGTATTCATCAAGATGGATGGTCCCCGAGAGATGCAGCTTAAAAAAAAGCGATATGAAAGCTTCTAAAATGATCATACATTTAATTAAGATTTTAGATGTAATTAAAAAATTCACTTTTTATTTTTTATTGCTTAGATGGGTCGACGTGCTCACAGCCCACCTGATGTTAAGTGGTTACTGGATTACAATTGGATTACAACGTAAATGCGCCACCCACCTTGAGATATAAGTTCTAATATCTCAGTATAGTTACGACGGCTACCCCACCCTTCAAACCGAAACGCATTACTGCCTCACGGCAGAAATAGGCAGGGCAGTATTATAATTTAAATGAAAAAGCTCCGTCCGAATGTGATTCAAAAGGAAACAACTTTTAGTTGAGACTTTTTCAGATCCTCGTACTGTTTCATCAGTAAATGTGCTGGTGTGGTATCATCGCTTTTTAGCTCTAAATCTCCTAGTTTATATTTATGGCGGTAAGATCTGAGTGCTTGGACACCTTTTTTTTTATTGTTTAGGTTGATGGACGAGCTCACGGCTGACTTGACGCTAAGTGGTTACTGGAGCCCATATACATCAACAGCGCAAGTGCCGCCACCCACCTTGAGACATGACTTCTGCTGCTTCACTCTACAAACCGAAACGCATTACTGCTTCACAGCAGAAATAGGCAGGGCGGTGTTATCTACCTTTAAGTAATCCCTCAACATCAGATAGTCCGTAAATCTGTCTAGAGACGAACAAATTTGAACTTTGTTTAATCTATCTGTAATTAGTTCATTAACTCTCTAAAGAATAGCCCGTTTCATTTTAAACTGACAGTTTATGGGTAGGTATCTGATTTGCAGTTAAAAAAAGGGAATCTATAACCGAATTTTGAAACATTATTAAATTTTCAGTTTATGAACATTTAGGAATAGTTTACCTGTAATTTACATGATAATTTTGCTTTTAAATATGATAATTTTTAAATCAGAATACTCAAAGATAAAGCGTTTATAGTCACACATGTATATTTTACGTATTTAATTAGCTTTAGAATACCATTAGAATCTCAATAATTATTATTTATGCGACGAACTATATCGTAATTAGCACTGACAACAAAATAAATATATAGCTTTTTACAATGAACTTTGAATACGAAAGAATTATCAAAAAATATAAAATATTATATTCCTTAAGACACTTCAATCCGAAAACAAATGTCAATGAACCCAACACATTTTCTCTCCACATTAATATTAAAATAGGGAAAAAAATTGATTATTCCTGTTTACCACAACTAAAAATCAATACGAATTCACTGTTTTTATCATTTTTACAACAACACTCAATGACTTATTTTGTATCATTCGAAAATTTTATTTTAATAATAATATTATTATTTACGTATTATTTTGTGTTTAGTTTTAGCGCGCGCGTTCGTCGCCTGCCGAGGTGGGCGCCATACTGCCGCCGGGGAGCCAAGCCTGGCCGCTGTCACAGACAACCAATAGGGAATTATATTATAATGATCTAGTTTGCCAATAAAAATCTAGCCGGTGAAAAAACAGAGCACGGACTAGAGTTCTGGTTTGTCAAATAGAGGTTTTACTTACTACCCTTTGTTGTGACGGTCGTGTGTAATGTTTAGTCGAATGGTTGGTCACTCTGATTATTCTATCACGTGGCACTCTCCACTTCAGACACAAGTTTTGATCGTCTCTCTTGCACCACGCTCCGAGAGAGACTCTCATGGCCGATATATCGCACATTCCCCGTGCTGTCATCCGCATAGCAATGCATGCCATCAATAGACAGCATGTCATTGATATACAGGATGAAAAGCGTGGGGGAGAGCACCGAACCTTGTGGAACGCCAGCGTTAATGGTCATGGTATCAGAACAGTCACCGTCTACAACGATCGTGATGCTCCGCCCATCCAAAAAGCTAGCGATCCACTTGCAGAGACCCTCGGGGATTCCGTAAGATGGTAGCTNGCATAGCAATGCATGCCATCAATAGACAGCATGTCATTGATATACAGGATGAAAAGCGTGGGGGAGAGCACCGAACCTTGTGGAACGCCAGCGTTAATGGTCATGGTATCAGAACAGTCACCGTCTACAACGATCGTGATGCTCCGCCCATCCAAAAAGCTAGCGATCCACTTGCAGAGACCCTCGGGGATTCCGTAAGATGGTAGCTTCGATAGAAGTGCCCTATGCCAGAAGACCCTGTCGAAGGCCTTCGCGGTATCAAGGCTCACAGCAAGAGCTTCGCCCTTGCTCTCCAAGGCTTCAGCCCACCTGTGAGTAAGGTATACAAGAAGATCGCCAGCTGAGCGACCGTGACGGAAACCGTACTGTCGATCACTGATCAGCTAGCGATCTTCAAGATACTTCAGGAGTTGTGTATTTATTATTCGCTCCATCACCTTGGAAAGCAAGGAAGTTATCGCGATAGGCCTATAGCTCGACGAGTCTGACCGGTCACCCTTCTTTGGTATAGAGTGGATGTGGGCGGTCTTCCATGAATACGTAACCCTGTTAGTGCAACAAGTGAGGCGATACAAACGCGTTAGCACAGGTGTCAGCTCAGCTTTATGTTGTAGATGTCTATGGGCTCCAGTAACCACTTAACACCAGGTGGGCTGTGAGCTCGTCCACCCATTTAACCAATAAAAAAGAAACGCACCTGTGAATGCATCCATGTAGTTTTTTTTAGGATGGACGGGGCTATTTTCCTAGTACACTAGGTCAGCTGGCTTAGTTGGATGGAGAGGTTTGACAACAACTACCCGAGCATCTCTGAAGGGGCTTTATAGATCAAGAGCACCTGCTTCGCGACTGCATCTAGCATCGCGATCGGAATCGCGACTCACTGGCCAGATCTGGCGAGAAACTCAACGGGTAGATGCTATAGGTTAGATTACACCGGATTCGTCATCATGTCCTTCATTGAGAAACAAGTACTCCTGTGGTACTTCAGTTCCTACCAGATTGGGGATGGGGGATGGGGAATAGTCAAAAAGTGCCACTGGTCAGTAAATTAGTTTTGGCTTGTCGAGTTTTACGTTAGACCCGGGATGATAAGGGTTTGCTCTGTCAATAGTAGATTAGTCTCGTCGTTAATTTTAAAATTGGCGAGTAAGATACCAGATCTCACACACTGTGATTTAGGAATATGGGTAGGTACAACATCCCTGCTAACTTCTGTCGCGAAACAGTAATTAGTTCCGGTTTGAGAGATGGAGTATCCGTAGTACTATACCTTTTTTTTTTTTTTCCTACCTAAGCTGAGAGCCTTGAGAGGCTATTTCAGCGTAACCCTAACTTTTGTAGGTGAGCTCACGGGGCTCGAACCTGATGACGTTGCTAACACGAACCCTAGCAAGAGCCGTGCTTCGCAGAATCTACCACCGGATCGGAAACGCGACCCACTGAGAAGATCCGGCGAGAAACTCAGTAGGCTGTATCTGAGAGTTAATTTACTCGTCGAGCCCTTCGTCGCAAGCGACGGGTTCGACGAGAACGGTGACCGGTGCTTGAAGTACCTAAAAGCACCGTTAGTGGATCGGGGGGATCCGAGATGACGTGTTTTGGGCGACGTCGACTGCTTTCCATTCTATCCGCAGGATCGGGAATGTAGTTACCGGCGGCCACGATGAGAGGGTTCTCGTGTCGTGCCGCTTTATCGAAGTGGGTACTATACCGATAAGAACTTATGACTAGTGTGTTTTTTTATATTTGACGTTAATGGGCTCTGGTGAATCTTTAATACCAGCAGAACTGAGAGAAAACTCATACATCTATATATTAATACGTGAAGCAAAAACTTTGTATCCCTTTTTACGAAAATTGCGCGGACGGAGGAGTATGAAATTTTCCACACTTATAGAGAATATAGAGAAGAAGTGCACAATGCTAATATTTTTTTAAAATAATGCATAAAAGATACATTAAATCAATAAAGAAAACATTACACACACTACATACCGTGTATTTGACNTAATTTTAGATGTCAGCAAAAAGTTCAAAGAAACGTCCAAAAATACGCTTGTTCGACGATTTTTCATCAAATTCGCCATCTGAAGCAGATTTAGATCCCTTCGAGGATAATGACGGTGATTATGGTTCTGACACGAACTATGAACCACAAAATATAGAAGAAACTGGTGCATCCAGTTCATCAGAGGAAATATTTTCTATAAGACCTTGTCGAAAATACTCATTTCTGATGTGTAAAATGTGTTCCAAAGAATAAGAAGAGGATCGAAACTAGCTACAGGTGCATTGGTTGTCCAGGACTTCCTCCATTATGTCCTGAATGTTTCCAGGATTATCACCAAATCCTTGAACAGCAAGAACAATAAATCGTAGTCTGACTCTTCAAAACCTTATTTTGCAGATTTATTTTCATTTTTTGAGACTCTATACGTTCCTATTTTTATAATTATTTACTAGGGTATATTGACCTATTTTTTTGTTACTTTGGTACTTATATGTTTAATATTGTTTTCTTTTATTGAGTTAATTATTAGGGTTTTTTATTGTTTGTTAGTAGCGTTGCCGTAGTGTCGAAACTTTGTATATTATTTATTATGTACAAAGATTGTTATAGAAGATTTCCGATAGCGCATTAAAATATTATAATTTATAATAATTTAAGCGTTAAACATATGATATAATCATTTGAATGTTCCTAATTACAATACCAAATAATTTGTAATTATTGTGTAAGAAATGTGTATTTGAATAAGTTTCAGACTATATCTGTTTTTCATCGTACAGATATTGAAAAATACCATAACATAGCATTTGATGTTATAATAATTAATATATTTCTTTGTTTTTTGTTGGGATATTTCGTTTATTTTATAAGTCACAAATTATTGTAGGAGGTTTAATATTTGAAAATATTTGATTATTTTACAAATATTATGTGTTTTATTATCTTTCCTCAGAAGATCCCAAGTATATAAGATATTTTGCGACGTAGTGTCTCACTTAGGCAGGCGAACATATGATCAACTTGAAACTACGTCGTGCAACGTCCACGTCTTTAAACGTAGTGCCAGCTTTAGGCAGTCCAATATGTGGCCAATATGACACTACGTTGAGAAACGTTCACGTCTGTGAACGTAGTTTTGCTATAAAACAGGCAAGCATGTATTCAACACAAAACTACGTCGACAGACGTCCACGTCTGTAGACGTAGTGCCAGATTGAGGCGATCGAATATGTAGCCATTATGACACTACGTCGTAAAACGTTCACGTCTGTCAACGTAGTGTCACATTTAGATAAGCAAACATATATCCAATACGAGACTACGTCGGGAGACGTTCATCATTTTGTATAGAGAATTTCACTGCCTTTTTGTGATGTCAGGGTAAGTGCTCACTGTCAGCGAACGTGTTAAAAGCCACGCGTAACTTATCGCAAGACGTGACTTGGGCTTTAATCTGTGAATAATGCTTTTTGTATCCAATTTTCAGATATTTTGAATTATTTTTTAAAAGAAATTTAAGACAATTTTCATATTCAAGTTTTACTAAACAAATTTTGTTACTCAGAAATAATTTAGTTATTTTTATTAATATGGAACGGAAAGTTTGTTTATGGTTCCAAACGCTTTTTTTGTTATTTTTTTTTTGTTATTGTTAGATTGGCACAACTGCTATTCATTTTGACGTGGAGTTGGAGTTGCTCATGCTGTTTAGATTAAATACTTTGCTGTTTGGTATGGGGTATACATCATATCTTAGAGTGTATTGCGAATTTCATATTGCAAAAAATAATCGAAGGTATATAATTGTAACTATACTGAGACCTTAGAACTTATATCTTAAGGTCGGTGGGGCATTTACGTCGTAGATGTCTATATGCTCCAGTAACCACTTAACACCAGATGGGCTGTGAGATCGTCCACCCATCTAAGCAATAAAACAAAAAAAACAAGGCTTGATTTGTGGAAAGAAAATTCTTAGATTTTGCATCACGATAATGCACCTTCGAACAAAACCACCATTGTTAATAATAAACTACATACCCGACCCAGTAGACCGAATGGTAAACCGTCGACGTCGCCCAAAGCACGTCATTACAGATCCTCCTGATCCATTAACGGTGCTTTTAGGCACCACAAGCACCGGTCACCGTCCTCGTCGAACCCGTCGCTTGCGACGAAGGGCTCGACGAGCGAACTAACCCATAGACACAGCCCACTGAGTTTCTCGCCGGATTTTCTCAGTGGGTCGCGTTTCCGATCCGGTGGCAGATTCTGCGAAGCACTGCTCTTGCTAAGGTCAGTGTTAGCAACTCTCCGGTTGAGCCCCGCGAGCTCACCTACTAACGTTAGGGTGAAGCTGAAATAGCCTCTCAAGGCTATCAGCATAGGTAGGGAAAAACAAGTGAATATTTTTTTGACTAAAAACTCAAAGAATACCAACGAGCAACCTTCTTATTCACTAGATATT